GCAAAAGACAACACTTAAAAGGAAAAAAAACCACTTTTTTTTTTTAAGAATAAAATCAACAATTTCTCTACAGTAGTTTAATTAGCTTCAATTTCTGTTCTATCCATATGACATAGCATGTAGAGATATCTAATGCCATCTCCATTTTACCTTGGCAAAAAGAAAAGTTGACTGCCCGTAGTGTAAAGATTTAGTACATAAAATACTATCAAGAAATCAACTTTTAATAAATATATTTAGTTCCCAATCCTATATACAAGTATTGTACAGCAACACTCAGGAGAGAGCGCGACAGGGCTCACGGTGAACAAGATGGTCATTGACAGAAACACTCACACATTGTTGCAGTCAGACGCGATGTGGTTGTGGAGATTTGGAGGTGAACCGTGCTGAAAAAGATAGACCCTGCTCACCTTTATCACCTTTAAACCAATGCTTCTGGGAGGGAAAAATCAACCAAACACTTCGAGTCTCAGCACCCATCTCAGCGGCGTGGAAAATCAGTGTTCAGCCTGCGACTGGAATTACACGGGAGGTTCGTGGGAGTGGGGGGCTCTAAGGAGACTCAAGCCTTGAGATTTATGCTTCCCCCCTCACCCCCATTTCAAAAGAAACTATCATGTTGTTGATACTCCAAAATAAAAAGCTCTTCCCTAGCACCAGTAGATGTAATTCAGATGGCAATGGGACTCCTCCTTTATTGATAATGCTGCTCTAAAACTCTGGGGATATCAATAAGGCAGAACTCCATGGCAGGCACCCAGCAACTGTCCAGAATGCAACGGAGAGAAATAGTTGCCTGACAGCACAGCTCTCCCAGAAATAATACTGATTTTCTGCAATATACAGTATTTACACACCAGCTGCAAATGTTTGCTCATACCATACCTGTTTATATAGATAAATTAGCAAAAGGAGTCTTATGGATTTGGTTGATTCATTGCAAAAGGATTTTGTCAGGTTGGTACCTCTCACAGGGGGACATCTTCTACGTCTGAGTGTTTAAAACCAAAATTAAGGAGGTGAGCACTGAGGTCAGGGCCACTGCTCTGTAGCAGAGCTCAGCTGATACCCTCAGCAGCTTCTACTCACGGACAGGAATACTCTTTGGTGCTTTCCTCAGGCGTGTTCGAGCCAGCTGAGCAACGCAGCGCAGGAGGAGGATGGGAGCAACGAGAAAGGGAACCAGCAAAGTGTCTTTCCGTGTCTGTCCTCCACATGGCATCCGTGTTCACCTCTGCATGGGGAAGGACCTCGGGGGCCACCTCTTCTCAGCGTGCTTCTCGCTCTTCTGTGAGGTCCTCGCTGGAACAGGAGCGCCCATGGTGGCGTTCGCAGCTGGCACCGCGGGCACAGCGGCTGATGGGGCCGGGGCCTGGCGAGGAGCAAGGCTGCTGCTGGTGGCAGGCGATGGATGCAGCGAAGCCAACAGCCGAGAAGTCTTCCTGGCGTGAAGAGCTCTCCATGGCGGCAACCCAGCTCGGTGTCGGGCGCGGAGATGCACGTACTCGTGTCCTTTTCTGCAAGAGTGAGCCTGCCTGGGGCACTGCAGCCATGGGCAGCGCCGGAGCCCTGGGCAGGTTGCCCTGGTCAAATGTCACTGCCTCCTCGGGGTCAGCATCTTCAGTGAGGAACGGCTGCGGGATGGTGCTGCTGCACTTGCTTCTTGCTGCACAGCTTCTTGTAGCCAGGGATGGCTACAGGTGAGCACTTCCATCTGACAGAAGATGGACCTATCTCCCAGGCAGGGCTCATCTGCAAAGCAAAAGTCAATGTTGACTGGAAACCTAGGGAAGAGCACCCAAAACCCCACATGATGCTTTTAGAAGAGCACCGGTAAACTTCAGCCTGTCTTCAGGAACGATGTGCTGCTCTGAACACACAACCTGAGGTGCTTCATCCCCTGACAGAACTCACCATTCTCGCAGAAATAACCCCGGCTGGAACCAAAGCCATCAGCGTCACTCAGAGAACACCGACTGCTGCACTCACCAGCAGCGAGGAGCTGGGCAAGGGCGACTCCTGTTTGCGGGGTTCCCCACGCAACAACTCCCGGTGCTCACCTCCCACAGCTCCCACACACCGAGTTCTACCCACCCCAAATCACCTCCACTTCTAGTCCCAGGATATGACCCGTCACCAGCATTAGAAACAACAACATCTTCCCTCACAGAAATTACACCCCATGCAGTATCTCTCCAAGATGCCTTTTACACAATGCCTTAAAATAAAATGTCCTAATTGGGCTCAGCTCCACCAAAGCACGTGGTGGAAGAACTGATGGCTCTTCTTCCTTAAGCAGGCAAATATTTTTTTTTCATTAAATCCAAGAGAAATGCCAACATGCCACGGAGCACAGCAGAAATCGCATCGACTCCAGCAAATGCTCACGACAACTCCAGTAAGATTAAATTCTCAGCTCAGCTCCTGCTCTAGGTTTGCCACGGCACGGACAGAGAAACCAGGGGCTGAGAGTTCACTTTTTTAAACAGAATTGTCTCCTGCTTCAGGCTCTTTCACTGGCAGAAGACAAGTCAGAGAAAAAGCAGATGCCTTTACCAGACTTATGCGAACCAGTAGGATTCGCTCTGTGGCAGAATATGCTGCACCCTTTAAGAACTCTGATTCCATTTCTTCTACCAGCTAGTGATCAGTGTTAGTGTTACCATGAGGGATTTAAAAAATATAAAGAAACCCCAGTCTTACAGAGTCACCCAAAAGAAGAAAAGCTTAGCTGTCCTAAAAAGCTTAAAAATCTGATCAAAAAATTCCACGAGAACAATGGAATGAGATTCCCAGGAACCTTAGTAATGCTCCACGACTCAATTTTTATAGCGTTCTTTTTTTTCCTTTCCTCAGCTGGCTGCCTTGTAAAACTGAGCTTGGGCTTTAGAGGTTCAGTGGGGTTTTACTCAGGATTGACCTTCCCCTCTAGAACAACTGTTTGCAAATGCAGCTGAGGCACTCCTCTACCTCAGACAAGTTAAAGTATTTTCTTACCGTTACAGGGAGTGAGTTGGATCCTATCTCCGCTCCTTTTAGGATTGTCTCGAGTATTACAATTTCCTGTGTTTCCTCTGGGAAGGTCAACCATCCTCCAAGGTCACTTATTCTTTTCAATTATATCATCAAGGGGATTCCCTGTGTCTTTCATCTACAGAGTCATAATCACATTTGTATATGCTAGTGGAGCAATCTTAATCTATTTCTCATAGTAACGAACAACGCATTCTGCATCATGGTATTAGCATTCCGCAGAAAAAAAAAAAAGAAGAAAAAAATCCTCCAAGCATCACCCAACCCAGCTCCCCTGTGTCACGTGTTTGGGCTGGGCCGGCCACCAGATGCTGACAGATGCTCTCTGATCCCCGCTCTTTCCCCTACCCAAATGAGAAGGGAATGAGGCAGAGAGACTCGGGATTGGAAAAGGAAACTAAAGAGCTTAAAAAAAAAAAAAATATTCATGCTATGTGTACATATGAATATAATTGTATATGTGTACTTACACACACACACACACACACATATATATATATATACTCAAAACCCCAGTATTAACCCGACTTGCCCACCAGCAGCAATCCCCACTGGTGCTGCAGAGCAGGCAGCATCGGGGAAGCCCCAGGCTCAGCAGCAGAAGGGAACTGGGCAGAGGAGCTGGATTCTGGGAACACAGAATTGGGATCCAAGGCAGAAGGAGGGATTGAGTCCTCCTCAGACTCCAGTCACTGAACAAGAGACCTTAACCCCTGTGATCCCCCAAACTTTATACTGAACATGGCATATATGGAATGGAATACTCTTTCGCTCACCTGTCCTGTCCGCTCCTTCCCAGAGCTGCAACCTTGTACTTCTGTGTGACCCTTTTTCCTTCCCAGTACCCCCAGCGTGGCACACAACGTCCAGCTGTGATGTCAGCCACTACTGGAACAAGTGTCAGCCAGAACCCTTCGGCATCCCCACCCCTGGCAGTAACTGTCAGCATCAGGCGTTATCCCTTATCTGAAGCAAAATAACAAATAAACCAACACTTACCAGAGAAAGCCTGGCAGGAACGCTTCCACACCTGAGAGAAACCATCACAAGTCTCAGAGCAGTTGGCTGGGGCTCCTGACAAGACGGTTTTGGCCTTTCATGCATTTTTTTCATTTCATCTATTTCATTTTCAGAAGAGAGAAAGCTTCACAGACATTTGCCCGCAGCGGTCCGGGCGAGCTGCCTGGGTGCTGGGGGAGTTTTACTTGGAACAACTTGGTTTTTAGCGCCCTTCGCTGAGGGCTCGATCCCCATGCTCAGTGCATCAGGAAACTTTGGAAACATCCAAAGTGATTCCAGCCCACTGCAGAGAGAAGAAAAGTGCAATCTGAAAAAGTCCTCCTATCGTGCAAAATCCTGAACAGAGCCAGGTCAGTGGGCTTCTGCTACAGGTCCTCGGGGGCTCCAGGGCTCCATCATCAGCCTGAGGAGGGGAAAAAAAGCAATGTATGCTCTCAGAAAGCAGCAAACCTTTGGGGAGGGGTAGGCATGACACCCAGCCATCAGTCATTTCGGGTGGAAGTCACCCTGACCCGACACGGTCACAGCAGAGCAGGGCACTGCATCGGGCCACCATCACCTGCCAGAGCAGTTGTCCCCACCACCAGAGTTTGGTTTTGGTGTGCCGGCACCCCAAAAGCGCAGGTTCCAACTGCACATGGCTTTGCGCTCCCAAAACGTTTTCCCCAGCACATCTCGTCGCTCACGTCATGCTACTCAGCCATCACGGGCAGGACGACCCTGCTTGAAGTCCCGCATCCTCGTTTGGCCCAGTTAATGATTAAAACCGGTCTGATTTTGGAGGCGCTGGCACCCAGGCTATGGCAGGCAGGCCAAGGATGGTCGCCCTCTGCCCCGCCACCGGGATTAATCATTTCCCCAGCAATCAGCACGACCCCCATATAAACACCGGGACGGCTTCCCCAGTGTTGCTTTTCGGCAGGAGGAGAGAAACCAGCTCCGACATGAGGGCGGCTCTCGCCCTGCTGCTTCTTGTAGCTGCTGTGCACGCTGAGCACCGAGGTAAGGGCTTTTATCCCACGCCTGGAGCTTTGCTCTCCCCCTCTCTGGGACGAGGGGTATGAGGCTGGGGTCTGTGACCTCCCTCCCCTCTCGCCAGCCCGCAGCCAAATTGCTGGGCAGGAATTGGAGAGGCAAGGGAAAATGGGGGACGATTTTTCAGTAGCTGGGATGTATCTTTTGGGGTGATGCTGGAGGAACTGGGAGAGCAAGAGGCTGGGCTAGGGTTGGAGGAAGGAGGAGAGGATGTCGTCGTGGTGCCCAGCTTCTCCCCTTTGCAAGGGTAAACGAGATTTTTCCGACCCCCTTCACAAGTACCATTCCACTGTAAAACCTACCCAAAGATGGAAACGCTGCTCCGTGCCACCCTTTGTCATCTTCACAGCTCTGCAGGGAATCACCCATCTGCCAAAAAAACCCCCCTAAACCTCAAAACTCCCTTCTCCGCTCTGCTTTATGGACATAGGAAGAACTGCAACAAGCTGGCACTCTGAGCAGGATCGACAGCTGATATTCCTTTGAGGAAAGAAAATTGTCTGTCATCATGGTTTCTCTTTTTTTCCCTGTCATTACCAGCCCTGTAAAAGACCTCCCTGCCTTTCTTTCCCACCGAAGCAATGTGACCTTCACTGTAAGCCCTCGGGTTCAGGGAGCTGATCCCGCTCCAGTCAATACTGCTATCAGTATTTACCCTGCCAGGGACAAAGTCTAACCAATGCAGTTTCTAGCAACAATCAATAGCATTTTTCCAGGGATGAGGAAGTTTTAGGGGATGTCCTCACTGCTGGGTGCTCCTCACCTTCACGGTCCTTGTCTCCAGAGCTCCCAGCCCTTACCATCTCCAAACCTGGCCAGAAAACTCAGCCTGAACAAATGCCCTGGCCACCACCCAGGCTGCACCCGAGCCAGATGAAGCACAAAGCCTGCTCACAAATCCTCCTTTTTTCCTTGCTTACAGGTAAAGCTTATGTCCGGGACAAAGTTTGCCGGGAGTTCCAGATGCTGGGGAAGGAGGACTTCCGAACCCTGTAGGTTCCTCCTGCCGAATCTGCCCTCCCAGGACATTCGGCACCTAACCCGAGAACAACAACAAAAATAAATGTAACCTCAGAAAGGGGAAGATTAATTCACCCTGCAAACGAGGACTCCAATTGCTCTTAACAGGAAAAAAGTTTGCTTCACTGTTCAACTCCTCAAAACCAATTAGGTGCCTAAATAATTAGGAATTCTAGAAGAGCTGGTGCATTACCCCTGGAAAGGGCACCCCCCATCCTGAGACTCATTCTGGGTCTTTCCCAACTGTTTCCCAGGGTATATGCTGCTATTTTTCGCAGCACTGCAGCTGCTCCTCTCTGAATGACGGTGTTAAACCCTGTTTTGGCAGGATGACTATAGAATTGTTTGGGTTGACAAAGACTTTTAGGATCATCAAGTCCAACCATTACCTTAGCAGCACCGGGTATCACTAAAAAAAAGATGCCACAATGTGATTTTAGGCTTGGTGGGTTTTTTGTAAGAGAGAGAAACACGCCACCAACTTACCCTCTCCTTGCTTCGTCGCTCCCAGGACCATCATTGCCAAGAGCAGGAAATTCTCCAACGCCACCTTCGAGGAGATTGACCACCTTGTCCGCGAAATCGTCTCCCTGGCTGAGACCTGCTGTGCCGACGGCGCCGACCCCTCCTGCTACGATGCCGGGGTGAGGCTGGTCGAAACCCGGAGGGTGACAGACCCCAAAACCCAAACGGGGGACACAATGGGATGGGCCTCTGGCACGTAACCTCTTCTCCCTCCTGCAGTCCTCGGCTCTGTCGGCCAAATCCTGCAGTGAGAGCTCTCCCTTCCCGGCTCACCCTGGCACGGCCGACTGCTGTGCCCACGAAGGGCTGGAGCAGAAGCTGTGTCTCGCCGCCCTGCGGCACCCGCCCCAGCAGCTGCCCCGCTATGTCCAGCCCTCCAACGAAGAACTCTGCCAGGCCTTCAAAAAGGACCCCAAGGACTTCGCAGACAGGTAAGCCGGGCTGGGGGTGAGGCTCTGTCTCGCCGATAATGCCCCGTTGAGTCCAGGTGTAGGGTGGTGATGGATGACGCCTGGGTACCAAGAAAACATCTCCAAGTCTCGCCTTCTTGGGTCTCTGCTGTTGCTCTTGGTGGCCATGGGGCTGCCAGGGCATCAGAGTTGGTGGCTGGGGTGTTCTGCATTTGCACAGAACCCAGGAACGGAATTTTAGCAAAGGGATAAGGGGTGCTATCGCCTCTGAGAGTGGCCTCCGGCCTGCCCTGCAATAAGCTGGCAGCACAGGGCGGTACCTGGACAGAATTTCCATCCTCAGACAGCCCTAACACTCCCCAAATCCCTGCACCCAAGCACCCCACCCCAGGGTGCCAGGTCTCCTCCGCCTCTCTCTGCTGCAGGTTTCTGCATGAGTACGCCAGCAGCTATGGCCAGGCACCCCTGCCTGTGCTCCTGGGCTCTACTAGGGCCTTCCTCTCCATGGTCTCCACTTGCTGCATCTCCCCCAAGCCCACTGCCTGCTTCCTGAAGGAGGTGAGGCCCTCGGACCACCCACTTGATCCTCACCCTCGCTTGCCGGAGAGCTGGGCGAGCACCGCGCCGATGGCCCAAAGAGAGGTGGCTGGGAAATGCTCGCGTTTCCCTCAGAGGCCACTTCCATCTTCTTTCTGTGGCAGAAACTTGAAAGGAAAACCCTCTCGCTCCTCACCTTGACGTCAAACCGGGTTTGCTCCCGCTTCACGGCGTATGGGAAGGACAAAGTCATCTTCAGGTAAAAGGGGAGAAATAGCCTTTTCTCTCCTTGAACACGGGTCTGGCTGGGAGCACGTTCCCATCTCAACCTGTTAACAGAGCCAACTTAAAATTAGGATGTAAAACCAAGCACCATGCAGCATCCTGTGGAAACACCTTGCTTGCGGTGGAGGCACGGGGCAAGCCTCAAGGCTCCCCATCACCTCTCTCCCGTGCCTCCACCTGGTGAAACCCCTGCTTGGGGCTCTTCAGAGGGGAAGGGGGAGCCGAGCTCCTCAAGCCCCTCGTACACCTTGTGCCTGCCCAGCTACCTCACCTCCCTGGCTCAGAAGATTCCCGGAGCCTCCTTCGAGGACCTTTTGCCCCTGGCAGAAGACGCTGCCGAGGTGTTTTCCCAGTGCTGCGACTCGGTGGCCGAGGACTGCATGCAGAGAAAGGTGGTGGGAGGCAGGAGCCCAACCCCAAAACCACCTCCTGAACCCCAGCAGGGGCTTAAGGAGTGATCCCCCGGCATGGTGAGGGGGGTCCACAGCCTCCCAAGCCAGAACCCGAGCCCCACTCCCCTCCTTGCAGCTATCTGAGCACACGGCCAAAGCCTGCGGCGTGCTGTCGGCCCGTGACGAGAGGTTCGCCGAGTGCTGCAAGGGGAAAAACCTCGTGCAAAATCATTTCTGCATCTCGGCCCTGCCTCCCGCGCCCGCGCCCGAACTGCCAGAGGCGCAGAAGCCGACGGACAAGCAGCTCTGCGGCGAGGAGGGGGCTCGCAATGCCAAGAGGTGAGCTGCAGCCCCTTCCTCCTCACCTCATCTTCCTCACATTGTTTGATTATTACTAGGATAACCCGGGGAGCATCCTCTCTGCCTTCAGGGGTATCGCCCCTGCGCCAGAGAAGCAAAAAGCAGCGTCTGTTCCATGCTGAGCAGCACCAGTTAAAAACCTCTCATTTTTCCCCTCTCCAGGTATCTGTTTGAGCTGGCACGGAGGCACACCAGCGTCCCTGATGCCTTCCTCAGCAAGCTCTACGATGCTTCCCAAAAAGTCAGGGAGGAGTGTTGCTCCGCCAAGGACACCTCAGCCTGCCTGGGCAGCAAGGTGAGTGGTGAGGACGGCTCCGTTGGCTCGCCCTGCTCGGCATCCCCCCGGTCTGTGTCCTCCAAAACCTCTGCAGAGGCTTTGTTTTGGGTGGGAGAGGTTACAGCCACCCTCTGTTGCCCAGCGCCAGCAGATGGGAAAAAAGCTGCCCCCCATCCTGGAAAAAGCCAACCAGTTCTGCAGGCAGTACACCGAGTTAAACTTCCTTGACTTCAAGAAGAGGTAAGCCTTTGTCTCTCGCCAAAAAAAACCCCTGAACCAGCAAGTGCAATCGAAATTTAGTTGCAATTCTGAGGATGCACAAATGGACCTGGTGCTTTTGAGCCTAAACAGCAGCAAAATACGGTGGAAGCCCTGCTCCTGCTGCCACCCGCACGTGCGTTGCCTCCTACTCCAATAAAAAGCAAGACGTTGGTATTTAATGCCCCTAAAACCTGCTGGTCTCCCCACCACAGGCTGCGGGAGAGCTTGATGGCGACGATGCCGGAGGGCAGCCCCAAAAGGCCCCGGCCCCGAGCGGCTGGGGAGGCTGGTGGAGCAGCGAGCCGACTTCGCATCTACCTGCTGCCCCCCCAACTCGCCCCCCCTCTATTGCGCCTCCAAGGTAAAGTCATGGGCCCCCCTTCTACTGCCTTATGCCGGGGGTCAGCCCCTGCTCCCAGGGCTGCCCCTCGGCTCTTTTCCCTCTTGTACAGGTGAGCTCGGAGCTGGGAGAGGCTTGAGATGGGGGTGCCCAGAGGCCGTCCGGCATGCCGGCACCAGGGACTCGCAAGAACTGTCATTTCTCGCAATAAAGACTTCAATAAACACCCTCATTGCTGCTTCCTGCACCCCTGGCGGGCTGGGGAGGGCTGGGAAGGGGCACAGCCCCCACTCTGTGGTGCTCCCAACTCTAATCCTGGTTCCTAGAAAGCTCCCCTCGCCTGAATTTTTGGAGTGTTGCCACTCCATGGTGGGAGACGGGAAGGTAGCAAACCCAGCAGGGAAAATCTGCCGCACCCAGAGCCCAAATCTGACAGGTTTTTTTCCCAAAAGAACGAGTCTAAATATCCCAAGGAAGGCAGATAATGGTACCTCAGTGCCCTGTAAAGATAAACGGGCAAATTAAAACAGCTTGTGCCGTCGGAGCCAAAATGATGGTCAAAGGAAAGCTATAAATTAAATAAAGGGATATAAAAGGAGCAAGAGCCTTAACGATGGGGCAGAGGGATCCCACCTGAAGAGGGAAAAATCCACCAGGGGCACAGGATTAATGGATTAGTTGTTGCTCAGACCATTCCCTAGCAGAGACATCTCCTGCGCCCCTACGGTTGCTGGCAAAGGCACCTCTGGGCCCATGCTCTGGCGTCACCGAGACTCCCAAACCCTTCTATAAGGCGAGGCTGCACAGGTTGGTGAGACTTTATCGTTTAGGGGGACAGATCTAGAACGAACCACTTGTTTTTCTTGGTGCAATTGTTACTGGGTAAGAGAAATGCCCTTTTTCTGTACCAGCATCTGGATGCAGAACACTCTCTCAAAGCAGGGAAGAACCTGGCAGCTATCCCTGACCTGGGACTGGACCCCACTATGAATTACAGCAGCAAAACCACAGACACCGAGACATCAGCTCCAGCCACCACCGTACTTTGGGCGTTTATTTTCCAAAATAACTCACGGTTGGTTCTTGTCATTCTCTTCTGCTGGGGTGAGAGACCCTCATCTCATTCATATACTTGGCACTGCCAGCCATTTCTCTCAATGCCCCAATGTGGACCTCAGTCAGTGCGTTTGCATTTTAGCCTCTCGCGCCCAAGGTGGCAGCTCAGAGCACCAGGCACGGGCACCACCGCTCCCACAAAACATTTGCATCCGTCCAATTCACTATGCGCAGGACAAGGGCTACTAATCACAGCAATATGCTTGGGTTTCCACGAATATCTGGAGAAACACAACCAAGCTCAGCCAAGAACATCCGCTCTGCGGTGCGCCTGTTTCTAGGAAATGTGCTGACAGATATAAAAAAAATAATTAAAAATAAGAAAACAAACCAGCAGTGCCATTATCACTGCAGCTCTCCAGGCTAGAAGCTCTCAAAGATACCCCAAGGGTATTTACTAACACCAAAAGTCTGGGCACGCTGAGCAAGCTGAGATCCCTCTGGAGAAGCCTGCACCACGCACCCCTTCACACCCACAGCATAAAACCTGTCAGAACCCACCCACGATGTGGTTTGACCCTAAAAACAGGCAAGGAAATGCTGCCGACCTCGGCAGAAGGCTTTAGGCAGTGACCTGCCTGCTCTGCCATCCAGGTTTATCCACCGAGCGTGTTTATTAACGCTATTTGGGCTCCTGGTGGCTCCAGCTCTGCATCCAGGACATCTCCTGTTCACCGGGCACCAGAAGCTGCTTGGGGTCACCTGGGGAGCTTCCACCTTTTTGGAGGGAGTAGCTAGATATCGCACCGCACCAGCAGGAGAGAAACAAAATCTGGAAAGCACCCTTACGCCGTGTGGGGAAAACACAACCTTTGTGGGCAGCCCGGCAAGGGCTCCCGGGTGGTGCCGGCGTCGTGTGACGCCAACGCACCCCCCTGACGACAAAGCCTTTGCCACAGTCACTGCTGACGCGGGGAGAAACAATCCAAAAAGGAATGAATTGCTGTTTAAAAAACAAAACCAAACAAACTGAAAATAAACCACACAAACCCAAAATATGTGGTTTTTTTGGATTTAAAACAAGCTGACTTCCGAGAAAGCCTGCCCTGCCAGTACAGCCTGCCCACAAGCAGCCCCGAGGGATTCCCGTCCAGCTCGCCACCAACCTGGGCCAAAACCACTTTCCTTTTCTACTCTCCAGTGCAGTTTTGTTTTTTAATTTGGTTTACTGGGTCTCCTTCTTCCTGCACAAACCAGATTTGCCTCCTGCATTTTTGTCTTGGCAACTCTCTAACCCATTTCCAAATATCTGAAAGAACTAGTAAAGCCCCTGATTTTCTTTTTTTTTGGTATTTATTTATTTATTTATTTATTTATTTTGAGCAGGGGGGAAGTAAATAAATAGGGAAATATCCTCATTGCTCAGAGCAATCCTTTCCTGACCCGGCCACCTCCAGCACTTTCCTGCCAGGCAGCTTACAAATCCCAAAGCAGCATGCAGAGCAGGCAAGGCAACAAGGACAGAATAAAAAACCAAATTCAAACCAAATCCCTCTGCCAGGCAGAGATCTCTCCCAGCCAACAGCCTCCTCCAGCTCTCCACCACCCCAGCTGCATGGCAAAAAAGCAGGAATTAAACAGCAATGCAGTGCAAGTGCAAGGCAAGATTTGCTAAATATTTAGCAAATATAGCGAATTTAAAATCCCCTCCAGTCTTGTCCCCAGGCTTTTGGGAAAGGGAGGGTGTTTTTTGCCTTCCTGCCAGGCAGCTGAAGTGAGGGGCAAGTAGTTTGTTCCTCCTGAGCAGGTTAAACCAGTGCAGCTGTAAATAAACTGACCAACTTCTCTCTTTTTTTAAGTTTTAAATAATCACTAGGTCCACAAAAACATTTTTTTTTTTAAAAAGGCTAAAAATATTCAAGTATGAATTTTATCCGCCTCTGAGACCCGTGCTTTCCCCAGCCATTCAGTTCACATTGTTGGTTTTCTGGCTTTTTTTTGAGCCAGCAGCACTCTCACCATCAACTTCAATAAAAAGCAGCAAGAAAATGGGCTCATACCTCCTTCCTCTTTTGCTTTCCCTCCGTATGGCACACGGTGCAACACGGCAGCGTTCTCCTCTTGGCTTCACACTCCAAACTCCAGCAAAACTGAGGCTCAGCAACAGCTTCTGGCCAGGCACCAGGAGAAAAGCAGCAATTTACAGGGCAGGTGAGCTGCTCACAGGTGATGCAGGTTGAGGGAGGTGATTCTCCCCCTCTGCTCCACTCTCAGGAGACCCCACCTGGAGTGCTGCGTCCAGTTCTGGAGCCCACAGCACAAGAAGGAGCTGGACGTGCTGGAGCGTGTCCAGAGAAGGGCTACGAGGATGCTCAGAGGGCTGGAGCACCTCTCCTGTGAGGAAAGGCTCAGAGAGTTGGGGTTGTTCAGAAAAGAAGGCTCCGAGGAGACCTTGTTGTGGCTTCCAGTATCTCAAGGGGGCTACAAGAAAGCTGGGGAGGGGATTTTTAGGATGTCGGGCAGTGACAGGACTAGAGGGAATGGACTGAAGCCAGAGATGGGTCGGTTCAGATGGGACGTGAGGAAGAAGTTCTTCCCCATGAGGGTGGGGAGACCCTGGCACAGGTTGCCCAGAGAGGGGGTGGAAGCCCGATCAAGTTTTTCAGGCCAGGCTGGATGGGGCTCTGGGCAGCCTGATCTAGTGGGAGATGTCCCTGCCCATGGCAGGGGGGTTGGAACTGGATGATCTTTAAGGTCCCTTCCAACCCTGACAATTCTATGACTCTCATGCCCCAGGGCTTCTAGCACCTGCAAGGACTAAGTAATTTCTCTCCCCAGGTGCAGAAGTAGCTGCCCAACAACTTAACGGAGTCCCAAAACGGTTTCCACACTAAAAAATCACGGGAGAGACACTTTTGGTCACAGTTTTCAAGGCCAGGTATGGGGGAGGTGGCTTTGGGGACCTGCAGCTCGGTCCCACACTAGATCCACGGAGCACGACTCTCATTCCTTACTGAAAACTCAGCTCGAAACACCCATGTAAGCACTTGACCCACCCCATCTCCTCCGGTGGCAGGAGGGGACAGAATTTGTGGAGGAGTTGGTGCCCCATCACAATTCTCTCTCATCCGAAGGGCTGCTTGTAATGCTGCCTACGGACAGGTGGATTCAACCACTCAAGACTGAGTGTATAAAGAGGAAAAACAAACTTGCAAACTCCCCACTAAATGCATAAAGTTACTTTATTTTCAGTATACATTTAATTTTGAAAAATATAAATGCTAAAATATCTCATCATCTTCATCTTTTGATTTCATAAAAGACACAATAGAAAGCTTCATAAAACTGTAAAATACTATAATGTTATAAGGAATTTCATGTTTTTATATTACTGGAAAAAAAAATCATTTTAGACATATTGAAATGTTTTCCTTTTTTTTTTTCCTCCTTTTTGTTCCACCGTTTTGATCCACTTCATTTCACGCTAAGATTTTACTCTTTCCTCCGAAGCAAACACAGATTTACAAGGATTAAAAACAGTAAGAAAAGTATCGGAAAGTGCGTGTTGATTCCAAAAAATGAAATAAAAATACAAAGGTGTATCGGTCACAATGACAAAGAACCATGGGCTAGAGGCAGACGGCCACCACGTTCCCAGGGCCGGGACAAAGCTGGCTGCAGCAGGGTGACCGTCCCGGGGTCCCACCGTGGGGTGGCACCCGGCTTTGTTCTGGGAAGCTCATTCCCTGACGGCCACCTGCGGGTTTTCGGTTGGTCTCCACACCCCCAAGTGCTCACTCAGGCTCTTCCTGTCAAATCCCCAATTTTGAAGAAAAAGAATTCTTATTTTCCAAGGCGGTGACGCCTCCCTGGCAACACCTGCAGTCTCCTGGTGCTGGCAGAGCTCTTGTTGCTCTCTTGGTGTTGAGTTTTATCTCTTTTTTCAAAGGAAAAACCAACAAGAGAGACGCAACCATCAATGAAGTGCGAGCATTAAGCACCAGGAAAGGAAACCTTGTCAACCAGAATCGTGTGTTTTTCACGGAAAGCTGCAGAAACCTTTGTCCCATCCCTTCAGCAACG